TAAGTAACGTACGCAGATAAATTGCAGCGTTAAATAACCCAAGAAGCTGTAAAAAAAAATAGCGTTTACACTCTCGTCACCAATGATATACAACGGCATTTCCCAGCCTATTTTCCACTGAATACAGACTTTTCATCAACTTTATGTCTCCTGATGTCCTTTTCAAGCTGTAGCACATTGCAAAATAAGATTTTGTAATGATTATAGTCTTCTGCGACTCCGTGTGTTCTGGTAGGCCGCTGCTAACGTCTCGGAGGAACACGCCGCTCCGATATCCTGAGTTGACCCTAAGAAATGTCTGTAATGATGACCCAGATCACACGGCGTCACACTCAAGAAGACAGTAATCTTAATGATGACCATGGTATAAATCTTGAGTCTCTCATGCTTATTATATTTTCCCAAATTTCAAAATTCCTAATGCATAAATACTGAAAACTATTCTGGAAATAAAAATAAACAAAGTAAGTTGGTGATTACTCAGCAGACACAGCGGGTATGATAGTCACAAACAGGATAAATAAAATACGTAGCTACGTAATTGCTTCTGCTAGACCTAATAAACATGGCCCTCAAGGCTACGAGTGGTTGCTCCAGCACGCCATGGACTCAGGTTCAGAAGCAACTGTACAGAGGGTTACGCCTTATACGCGGGCTGTGTGTGATGTCTACCTTCATGTTCTGTTCAACGCGATGATTTCCATAACGGGTTTTCATTAAATTTAATTCTGAACATTGAAATTTAAATATTGGTACGTAGTATGTGTGTGACTATAGACGGAGTTTGGATTGGTGAATATATATACCGACCAGTTACAGATGGTAACTATACTGGCTGCATGCACACAACAGAAAACAACAACGCACTGCGCAAGTGGGGTAATGGACTTACAATTAAAGAGACATATACGTATAAAAGAAATCAACGTACACACCAGCATCAACGAACTACGTGAAACACAGCCAGGCCGCCGAAGATAACGCGAGTAGGTCCCACAAAGAGAGATAGGCCGTTTATACTAATATTAATAGGGCGCCCTATTTAAATGGAATTTTAATCGCAATTTTAATTTTAATTTTAATTTTAAAATTTAGACAAGCAGTGGAGTGAACTGTTTAGCATAACTAGGAGACATGATGATGATCGTATACGGTCGAAACACGTTGTGAGTAAAGATTAAAGTGACTGTAACAATCTTGTGTTACATCGTGACGGAAATATTTATTGATGAAATAACTAGAACACTATCGCTATTTTCGCCTTCAGTATCAGACACCAAGTTTCATACGTCCCTCAAATTCTGTGACAAGGCTTCAACCCTCCCCCCCTTCGATGTCAGGGACCAAGTTTCATACCTACCTTAATGTCTGAGACCAGGTTTCAAACTCCCCTCAATGTCAGAGACCAAGTTTCATAGCTCCCTTAATGTCAGAGACCAGGTTTCAAACTCCCCTCAATGTCAGAGACCAAGTTTCATGCCCCCCACCCCAAAATGTCAGAGACAAAGTTTCATACCCCCTTAATGTCAGAAACCAAGTTTTATATCTCCCTTAATGTCAGAGACCAGGTTTCAAACTCCCCTCAATGCCAGAGACCAAGTTTCATAGCTCCCTTAATGTCAGAGACCAGGTTTCAAACTCCCCTCAATGTCAGAGACCAAGTTTCATACCCCCACCCCAAAGTGTCAGAGACAAAGTTTCATACCCCCCTTAATGTCAGAAACCAAGTTTCATATCTCCCTTAATGTCAGAGACCAGGTTTCAAACTCCCCTCAATGTCAGAGACCAAGTTTCATTAAACATTTTTTTTTTCATTCCTTTTCACAAGTTCGTATCTTGTTTCCATGAATCACTCCAACTTTAGATCAAACTTTTAATAACATTTCCATCGGCTCAGACGTCTCCCTTGTAAAATTTATTTCGTTCACAAATCGTGCCGTATACAAAATCATTATGATCCTCCGTTCTAGAAAGAGGCTGATGAAGTTTACCTCCTTTAGGACTTGAGAACCACAGCCATATTTCTGTGAAGTTTCTGAATCGCTGTTGAGGTTTTATCGAATCACCATTTCATACTTGAAATATTTCGAGAACTTTTATGGTTACTTGAGCTGATGGAACAAACCCATTGTATGGGTAATGCGTTCGAAATCAATGATACGGCTAGCATGTAGGTATAGTTAAGGGAGATATGGGAGTAGAATGAGTTCATTGGATGACCATAAACAGAAAATGAAAGAGAAAAGTTCTAAGAAAGGAAATATATATATAGGAAACGGTATAAAAATGAGACGCAGAGCCGTTGCATTGTATCCACCATCGTTAGCCATTCTTCCTTATGTAGTCCTTTTCTTTCGCTTGCTTTTTACGTCAGTAGTTAGAGGTACCTCGTCAAAGACCAAACGCCTTCCTCTGTTTTCCAAAAAGGAAAAAGATCAATGGTGGCTTTTGAATATTTCTCAATGTTACCGGAAAAGTCCCTTTCAAGGCGGGCTCAATCCCCCCAATTTTCTATATCATCTTTTTATTCTTTATTTGTATATAAACGTAGAATTATTTTAGAGCTCAGTTTTTGTGTGTGAGATAAAGCAGCAGCAGGAAGAAATGTTTTGTATTCCGATATTAAAATACGCGACCAGTGAAAAAGATGGTCTTGGATATAATGGATTCATTTCTGTCGTGTCATATACAATAAAGATCAGATAAATTATATAATTATTAAGGATAAGGAAAGAGCCCATTCTTAGCAGAGTGCGTATACCTGTGGAATGCCTACAAAACTCGCTCTGTCTGTCCACCAACTAGCATGAGACATTTCGTGAAGCCATAAATGAATTTTCATTAAATTCGGCATTGAGGAGTTCAACTAAATATTAGTGATCCAATGCAGTTTTGGGTAAAATCAGACAACAATAACGAACATTTTACATGAACACATATGTGCATACATATCAGCGAAATGATTTGGACAAGTGTTACAAAAAAAAAAGAAGAAAAAAGAAAGAGACATTTTATGTTCGATATAATTTATCTATACATCCTACAGTTTCCAAAATAGTTAAATAAAAGAAAGTCAACGCGACAGAATTGTTAAGCTATGTATAATTTTCCTAACTTGTTACAAACTGTATCAATACCATCAGGAAGTTCTTACCGCGTGATATTTTAATAGCGCAATTGGTGTTTGACTAAACATTCAGATTTCATACGGACATGACGTTGTATCTGAACAATGAACAATCGCCATTGTGACTTCTGACAGAAATGATAAATGCGTGGATATTATCGACTCATAAACCTGTATTATTCGTTACAAAGGGGTTACTGAATCCAAATGTACTGTACAATGTGGACTATAAATTGATGAGTGCGTGCATAAATAAATTATTATTACAAAGGAGAATTAAAGGGATTTGGTTAATACATGAAGAGTGAAACTATTTTAAATAATGGAAATAGCATATCTAAATCTTCATTTCACAAATCACGGGAAATGAAATGCGCCTCCAGCAATCAGCCAATTAATACAGTACGGGAAATAACCATCATTCGTTCTGAAGTTGCGCAAAATACGCAGAGTTTCTCTGTCAATATTAATTTGAAGAATGTCATCTTCTGGTATGTGGCGCCGTCTAGATCTTGTGTGAACCGATATTTCGGAGGAACGTATCACCTCCATCATCAGGGTAGAAAAATTCGCGGCGAGAAACCAGCGTGAGTAGGTGGCTGAAGGCTTTTGCTGTTGAGGTGTGCAGGACCGCCCCATCGTGTAATGCCAACCTTCTCTCATCGGACGTTCACGGTGTAGTGGTTAGTTACCCTGTCTTCCATTCGGAGCTCTCGAGGTATACAGAGTGTTAGAAAATAGTTATAGTACTTATTTACAAAAACAAGAAAAAGTTTTAGTCAATATCCGGAAATCAATGTCTGCTTAGTTATGGGTAAGCCAATTCCTGGGTGGACATCTTAAGTAATCAATTCTACGGGACCAGTTGTGCTACATAACAGACTTACAAATGCAGTGTACCATCGTTTTTTGGTGAATGATATACCTGTACTCTTGGAATATGTGCCTCTTAACCAACGAGAACACATGTGGGCCATGCATGGTGGGTCACCACTTAATTGTCTCCGCATTGTCAGACAGCACCTGAACTAGACACTGTGAACAGTGGATAGGACACAGAGGATCAGTCAACTGGCTCAAAGGATCGCTTGACCTTAATGCTCTCGATTTTTGACTGTGGGGTCACCTGCAGACTTTGGTGTATTCAGCGCCGATCACTGACTTAGAGGTACGGCAGCAACGGGCATGAGATTTGGGTTAAAATAGGAATTCTCAACAGAGTGTGCAGCTCTAGGTGACGAAAAGCTGAAAGTTGTGTTGAAACGCAGCGGAACCATACAGAACATCTACTGAAGACATCACAGCAGGTGGTTTCCGGACATATGCTGAGTAGGACTTTTTGCCCATTTAAGTGAGTGCTATATACTCTTAAAGCCTGTGACCCCTCACTATTTGCATCCTGTATTTCTGATTCTGCGGCCATATATTCTGACCGTGGCTTTTAGTATTTATCCTCGGTAGTTCCTTGATATCACTGACGAAGTAAAATTACAGCACAAAAAACGACGCCAAATAAATATTGAATTTCCCACATGATCCGTGAGCAACTCTGTACGAACTAATTTTCAGAACTGTAATTCACATCCTCTGAAGTACTGTAGTTGCCCATAACAACGGCATATTGCTTTTACAGTAGCGCCCTACCAACAAGTCTACGCGTAGATCTGCCTGTTGCTGCTGGAGTCTCACGTCACGGACGTGTAACGCATGTTACACTGTTTGAGGCCATGATGACATGCAGTGGTACTACAAATGGAATCAGAAGGTAGTTCCATGAGGCCTGACGATGTAATCAAGTCTTTCAATCTGTCTGTTTACTCTTCCAGTGGACAGTTACACCATACGCGTCACTGCGTCGTTGAAGGTGACTTACCTGTGTCATGCAGCACGTCGAAACGCTTGTCAGCCGTGACTCGGTTCTCCCCGGCGGTTAGTACTCGGAGGCTATGTCGCTCGCGGTCCTCCTTCTTCCACATGATGGTGTTGTCCCCCACGTCACGCACGACACACGTGATGAGCGCGTCATCGCCCTCGTAAACGTGCACAGGGTGAGGAAGGCTGTCCCTGATGCTAGGCACGCCCGCTGTAACAGGCAAACGGACTGCATAAAGCGCGTGAAATTGACTGGCTGACTAGACACAGTTCGCAAGTTTCAAAGAAGGGACAACTCTCACCGTCTGGGGAAGACGGACAGACTGACGTCGCTGAAGAATAAACTTCTGAGAAACTTAGACTTGGGAGAGGAAGTAACATGAGGGTGAAGAAAATGACATAATTCGGAGCTTAATAATTTGCAGTCATCACCAGTGACAGACATTATTGGAGTGGCGAAGTCAACGAAGATGAAACTGGTAGGACATGCAGCATGAATCAGGGAGATTCATAAGGTTCCTGAAACTGGTTCATGGTACAAAAATCTGGTACACGATCGAAAGAAAATATTTAACACGAAAATCTACCAGTTCTTTCGGAAACATTTTTCTAAATGTTGGATATTAACAAAATTAAAGAAAACTGTACTATGTAACATGCGTAGCGCAGTAATAAATGAACAAGACAAAGAAAGTATGCAGACTTGCACGAATGCTGGGATTTACGCGCACTGTATAGAGAAAACACTGTTTCATTCTCACCTCTCTGACATAAAATGTGCCTGAGAGGGTGAAGTTGTGACTGTATGAGAATGACAAAAGCATTTTAACGTAGCAATGAGACGGTAAACAGAAGAGTCTGTAGTACTCAAGACTACAAGGTTTACACATTACGTACAAGTCACAACGTTCCCATAATTAAATGTTTCTCTCCCCACCGAAATCGAAACCAAGGAGTCTGGAAGCCGATATACCAAAGTGTAGTGCTTCCGAGATAATCCTAATTCCTTAATTTAACAGAGCAGATTTTTTATATTTCACTTGCTCTGTCAAGTGCGCAGTGGTTTTCCTTGCATAGGAGGTTCGCCCACCATTAAGCTTACACAGGAGAGCCGACACAACCATGATACTGGAACACATATACATATGGACATTATGCACACAAACAGAACATCAAATTACATAATTATTAATGCTAAATTCCCACCAATCTCCCATTGATTGAAGGGGTTTAATGGGAGATGGGTGCTGTCATTCCGAAAACTGTTGAGCGTGCTATTAAATTCCAGTCATTATGCAGATCATAATTAAAATATGTAATTGCTTTATTCATACATAATATGTTAATTCTGTTTAAGAGAAAGAACAGAATACCAGTGAATGAGTGTTTAGATTGTAGAAGGTATCATCTCTATATAAGAATTATTGAGAGAGACGCATATAGTCATAGTGGATTGTGGTGAAATAAATTATAGTGTTGATGACAGCAATCCTCAGCGGTTGAAATATCTCATTCTACGAGAGTACAAAAATAAAAAAGCTATGGTACATGTAACTACTGTCATTTGATATCCTTGAGGGTAACATGACCGCACGATTCCCAGAATTCCATGCGGAGTTTATGAAATCGCTTCAGTTAGTGTACAGTACATTAATATGAGCGAAATTGTCTGTTGTTATAAACTAGGATAAAAGCAATAAAAGTTAGAGATCCACATTCATCAAAATATAATTATACCCCTTGTTTTGTCCGAATTCAGAATCCGGTTTGCTATTATGATAGGGGTGCTGGAATCTGATGATGAAGAAAGAAAAAAAATTATTTTGTAGTAGTGTCATAGCCCCCAAAAAAAGAACACGCGATGTAATATACACGTATAAGCGAGAAAGTCAGTGGGGACATTTTGTGATAAAACTGTATGAGTCATGAAAAATATACGGAAGGATATAATTCAGGTCGATTTGAGTTTAGCTTATTTAACGACGCTCGTTAACTGTGACTACATAGCGCAACAATAGGACGAATGTTTATAGCTCGTCGCTGGGCAACAGTCAGCGCGCCAATGGAGTGGTGAGACAGTTATCACGTGACTTGCTTTCTGTGTTGTCTGCCTGACGCGACAATAGAAATGTCTTCTCTGTGCGTGGTCCGTGCCGAGAGGATATGAGAGAATACGGGAAAGGGAATTGACTTCACTTGAGTTCCGAAGCTCCAGGGGAACAGCAGTGTGGCCAGAAGAAGCAGAAGACTTAGTGTGTGACAATTCTTTATTAACAACAATACAGTGTTCAAGACTAAATTAGCATTGCTACATGTTTCGGCTATTCATAGCCATCATCAGGCAAATACACGATCATAATGTTTACACACTAGTGAACTGCAATTGTGTAGTAAGTCTGGATACTTGACAATTATCATATTATAAAACACATGGTATAAAAATTACAGTGAAATATAAACTTATTATAAAACAAGAGTTATTTCGTAAAATAAGGTTAAAAGTATTCAAGTGATAATCTATATCACGAAGTCAGTCGTTGCAATCTTGTATTTTCCCACGGACGTGGTCTATTATAGACTTTTGTATGATAAACTGTTTGGAGGCCCGTGAAATATAGCTTTAACATTAATTGTTTGGTCCGTGCCTCATCGTACGATATATTTATGTCCGTTTCGTAGGTAATACAGATTGCAAATGCAACAGAAAATAACGCTGTGTAGTCCGTTCAAAGTCAACCGACGTTTCGGAGGAATATATCACCTCCATTTTCAGGCTAGAATAAGTCGAGCAAAATATCAGCGTGAAAGCAGGTGGCAAGCACTCGGCTAACCCTCAAGATTACCATTTTAAAATAAACTATTCCTTGAAATTAAGATACCCAGCTTGCCACCTGTTTCCACGCTGGTATCTCGCTCCGCTTATTCGAGCCTGAAGATGGAGGAAAAGTCAGTTGACTTTCAACGGGCTACACGGCGTTTTATCCCAGAATATAGTAGTCTTCAAGAACGGAAAGATTTTAATAATATATGCACTGCATATGATAAAGTAAGGCTTCTAAAACCTCTACTGTCAGTGTGACATATCACTACAATGTGACATACTCGTTTTATTAATGGTAACGTAAGTATTTATGACTAACGAACAAACTTGTAGAAATCTTTAGTGACTGTACTATAAGTACTGGTTAACAGAATATCCCTTCTGACGACTCTTTGATAGTTATTTTGGGGCACTAAGTAAATATACATTTTTATATATTGTAATTTGATAGTGTTTATTAAATTATATTAAACCATAATCAAAAAAACGGTGCACAAACTAGTAAAAAAAAATTTAGCCTCAAAATTTTAAACAAGGGGCTTGAACAAGAATTACTCCATATTAATTCTGAATTTATATTAAATTAAATTTCTTCCAAGTTTCATTTTAATTAAACGTGTAAATAATATTTAATTACTCAATTAAGACAGAATTAAACTTAGGAGCAATGTGCGTATTTCCTTAATTATTGTTGGAATCTAACGTGAAAACATATTTTGAAGTTCATAGACGTCCTATATATTCCAGAACAGGGGGGGGCATTAGCTCGTTCGGTTATTTAATGGACCCGTCACGACAGCCTGTGCACAATGTCGCAGTGTAATATTGCATTCTGGCAAGGGCTCCCCACATATTTCCCTTACCCTACGATATTAAATATGAATGTTTATTTTAAAAACGAAATATTTAAAATATTTACGAGCCCTGCTCCCTAGCTACTTAACTCCGCAAGATATCTTAAAGTATTTGTGGGTAAACTGTCCCTTCTTCCAACATTCCCGTTTCCTTAAAGTTTATGATTGTAGAATTAGTGGCTGCTACTTTCCGATATTACATTGCACTAAGGAAGGTTTTCAGCCCCCCTTCTTGGTAGGGTATAACTTACTTGTTAATATCATGTGCCTTGTGATTTCTAACCCCTCCATACCAGGGGGAAGAAAATGACTAAGCGAAATTCAGCTGTACCAGCGAATACAAGAAATGATTTTATCTGAACCCTTACAAAGAAAGTGAGGGATTATGAACGAAACAGAAGGACATAAACACAGCAAAGAAGAAAGGAATATGGAACGAATGGAAGACATGAAGAAAAGTAAAGAAATTAACTAAAGAGAAGAAAAGGAGAAAGAATGAAATAAAAAAAAAATGTGCAGCATAACCAAGATGCAAAATCATGCAGCAATTTTATGACACAGGCTGCCTAAGAGTGACACAGCATGCAAACAATACGCTTTATATCGTCACGTGTGAGTGACTATAGACGGGGTTAGGATTGGTAACTAGATTTATTGAACGCTTACAGATCGTAATTTCAAGTAACTATAACAGCCTCACTGGTTTACAGACTCTAAAGATAACTGTAACTGCAGAACACATAGTCTTCTATGACTTCACTAGTCGTTTCCAGGTAATGGATCCTAGTAATGTGCTCTGTTTACAGCTTTACCGGCTGGCGAATATCCCACAACTGACTGAACTCTAAACTCGGACCGTTTATAACTTCTTGGCAGGGATCGCGCCGAAAAAAACTCTCATTGTTGTAGTTAAATGATTGCAGTGAGAACATGTTTGTTTGTCAAGCCGTTAGTCAGCAACGACTGCCGTATATTAGCGTATTCCGCGGTCGTTGCCTAGCAGCGGACGTTGTTTATAGAGTCATTGCTTAGCAACGGGTCTACATGCTACAATATAATGCGCGGTTTGGAAGGCAACATCGATGGAAGACGCTGTCAGTAACTGAGACTGATGCACCGGATGGCTGTATAATAGTGCATCACGTACAGGAAATGACGTGGCAGTGAGCGGTCGTTGCGTAATTTAAGGTACTATCCTGGAATCTGCCTGGAGAGACTGAGGAAAAAACCACAAAGCAATCTCTGCCAGGATAGTCAGTGTCCCGGCCAAAATTTGAAACGGGTACTTTCCGATTGAAAACCAGGAGCTTTACCGACTGAGCCAGCGTGTGTACCGGCTGAAAAGCATCAAAATTAAACATCTTGAAATCAAATGGAAGAAATTAAAACGACATAAAACCGAAAATCAGAAATAGAAAAAAAGGTTTGTATGCTCCCTCTGTTGTCTAGTGGTCAGCGTTCCTGGATACAGATCCAGAAGTCCGGGTTCGATTCGCAGCCCTATCAGATTCTTTCTGAGAAGTAGTGGGTCTGGAG